CCTGTGAAGCGTCACGCTTACCTCCACTCCAAGCCGCCACTGCTAGGCAAGCGACGACCATGGCTTATGTGCTTCTCCCCTGTCGAGCGCTCTCCAGAGACCACCTCCATAACTTCGTTCAGAGAATCGCTTGGCAGATTTTGACGCAGATTTGAAATCAGCATCAAAAATTACGTCTAGCAGTATAGGTCTCAATTCAAATGGCCACTTCGACTTGGGATCCTTCCCTTGTAAGAAGATGAATAAACTCGAGAGTTACGCCGAGCAGAGAGCTTGAGAGCAAGATTACGCAGAGAAGAAGACAATGAAGAGGCACGGCAACAGAGAAATGTCGCTTTAGCACAGAGCGCGTATTCGGAGAAGCCGCATGTATCGGTAGAGATTCAGCAAAGGCGAAATTCGGAGGCTGAGCGACATCATACTCGTGGAAGGACCATCTAAGCTCGAACACGGAGATTAGCCAGGACCGATTCGCAGCCGGAGCACTACGCACTACGATGGACCCATGAACGTCCCATGCGATAGCTGTGGAGCAAAGCACTTAAAATCTAAATCAAGGGTAGGAGAACTTTAATGACTGCTGCAATCATGGCAACATCAGTGTACGGCACTTCAATAACTATCCTGAAAGACTCCGCCGACAACTTACATGTAAGGACCCCTAAGCGGGGGAACTCTGTGAACATATTCACAACTACAACAGCGTCTTTGCATTCTCTTCCATGGGTGCACAGCTGGATACACCACTTGGACATGGTCTTACTGTTTTCGAATTCACAATCAAGTTTGACATAGAATTGGACCTGCGCGCCATGAAAGTGGTCAACCACACTGCTATGGCCAAGTCTATATCCTTGACACCTCTATGGCAGCAGAGGAAAGGATGGGAAATCCAGCGAACACAAATCGTAACCCACGGTCCTCCATTCATTGAGTGTACTGCTACATCTAATTAATGCCTGTGACCAGGACTGCGATCTATCCGATTAATAAACACCGAATGCAATCCTTTGACTTATCCAGTCTTATTTCCGCATGAAAAATTGGGATGGCATCCGAAAATGTTGAAGAACCCATCGGAAGGAATTCGCGCCAGAATAATGCAGAAAGAGTACTACTTCAACATGATAGCTGCCAGGGAGTAATTCAGTCCTCTTCACTTTGCTGGAAAATTCTACCAGCAAATTTTGGTGGACAGCTAAGTTAAGATGGAGCAGAATCGACTGAATTACGATCGCCCTCATCAAATTGAACTCGGAGTCGGCAGCTATAAAGGCCTCTTCGACTATGTGTTAGGTGGCAACGATATGACGGGTCCACCAGGTGTCAGGCGTGTTATACTGCCTTCTTCGTTCCCAGCATCACCCCGTGCAATGGTACAAAGCTATCAAGATGCTATGGCCATTGTGTCGGAGTACGGGAAACCGGACCTATTCATCACGTTCACATGAACTCCTGTATCGAGAAAGATTGTTAAGCAATTGCACAATGGACAGACGGCTGTCGATAGACCATACATTGTCGCCAGAGTTTTCAACATCAAGTTGCAGGAGCTCTATAACGATTTGTTGAAGCGGCAGATTTTTGGAGCTGTAAATGCCTATGTACCCGTAATGGAATGGCAGAAACGAGGACTCCCGCATTGGCACACATTCATCACTTTGGCAGAACAGGACAAACCGAGAAGTATCACTAAAATAGACTCCATTGTACGAGTCACCATACGTGACCAAGGAACGGAACCTCGCCTTTACATTATTGTGACTGCCTGCACAGACCGTGTGAAGCGGATAATCGACTGCCATGTATTGTTGATGGGAGGTTTTCTATAAGATTTCCTGAGATTCAACAAGTGCAGAACTCGACAGTTATCCGATGTGTCGAAGACCAAATGACGGTCGAACATGCGTTTTGGGTGGAAAGATCTTCGATAACAGATAGGTAGTGCCGTACAACCAATATTTAGCTCTTCGCTACAGCGGTCATTTGAATGTAGAAATCTGTGGGATGATTCAAGCTGTTAAATATATGTACAAATACGTCTACAAAGGACCTGACCGAGCAACACTCCGCATGATTCGGAACCAGAACGGTTTCGATAAGAGAGTGGTTGACGAGATCGACGAGTTCGTGACCGCTCTATACGTGTGCGCACCAGAAGCTGTATATATACTCCTTGAGTTTGATCGTCAATGAAAGTCACATACCGTCTATAGATTACGGGTTCACCTGCCTGACTATAAGAATAAGGCCTGCCAAGGAGGTACGGAGGAAGAGACAATTCGTCGAGCAGCCGACAGAGATACAACACTCACGGCTTTTTTCAAATTGAACGAGGAACACCGACTGTTATGCGGTGAAAACGTCCCCGAAGGAGAAAAGGATGCTTGCGCATTACTCTATGAGCGAGTGCCAGTATTCTTTTCATTTGACCAACAGGAACGGAAGTGGAAGGGGAGGCTAAGACAGAGTCGTCAAATTGGGAGGATGTATACGGCAGATTCTTTAGATGTAAAACGGTATAATCTTCGAATACTACTCTTGAACAGAAGAGGGCCAAAATCATTCAACGATTCGAAAATTGTCGACGGAGTTGTTCACGACACTTTCAAAGAAGCAGCTAAGGCTCTAAGGTTGATGTATGATGACTCTCACTACGAAAGCTGCTTGAGCGAAGCATCGGAATTCCACATGCCACCTCAACTTCGGCCCCTTTTTAGTAGTCTTCTTTGTTTTTGCTCTGTTAGTGAGCCAGTGCAGCTGTGGGATAAATTCAAGAGAGTATTGGCAGAGGACTACATTCATAGAAAATCAGGTGAAGAAGAAGGCGTTTTGTGGGCCTACTACGACATTATGGACAGATGATCGTTTGCGGTGCAAACTTGATGAGCCTAATCAGTCCACCTTCTCGTGAAAGGCCTACACAGCTCAATGAGGAAGAATTTGCGGAAGACGAACACATTGCCTGCGGAAGACGTCTGATGGACCAACGAAACGTCCATCAAAACGCAGCCGCTGATTCCATTTTGTCATCCGTAGACGATGATAGTAATCAACACTTTTTCGTTGATGGCCCTAGAAGCGGTGGAAAAACGTTTCTCTACGTCGCATTGTACAACACACTGCTTGGGATGAGGAATAATGTGATTCGTGTGGCCTGGACAGGACTCGCTGCCAAACTGCTGCCTAGTTGAAGAACAGCGAGTAGCGCATTCAAGCTCAATATTAATGACAGCAACAGAACATGCACGATGAAAAGGCAGTCAGCAGAGGCCAATAATCTCCGTAACGTGTCCGTCATATTTTAGGATGAGATATCGATGGTGCCGAAGTGGACCTCTGAAGCTGTGAACCTCCTACTACGATACACAGAAAGATCTGCCATTTAGAGGAAAACTGATGATCGTAGAGGAAATTCCCGGCAGGTTCTTTCACTTGTAGAAAGAGGACGACAAGAAGGCCTGGAAGGTGCCTGTATCAAAAACTCTTTTTTGTGGCAGCTCTTTGTAACATTTCACCTTTCGACTAACATACGGGCAACTTCGTCTGATACAGAGTGGGCGGAAATGCTTCTTAGGATTGGCAATGGAACATATAAAGAAGGCGAGAATGGTCTGATTCAACTGCCTGACAAAATCAAGAGTGATGGAAACTCGATCACAGAGATTTTTGGAGAAAGAATAGGTGATGATGACGTCGAAAATCCAGCAGAAAAAGCAGTTCTTGCACCAAAAAGTATCCCTGTGGCTCACATAAACGAACTCTGTCTTCAACGAATGCCTGAACATTTGGAAATGAAAACGTACAAAAGTGTGGACGAAGCAGAGTACTGTGACTCAGATCAGAAGCTGTCCTCAACTATCCACTAGAATTTCTTAATCAACTGAGCGGTAGTGGAATGTCGCCGCATGAGCTGAGACTGAAACAAGGGTGCATTGTGATGTTGCTGCGGAACCTCGACGTTGGCAAGGGACTCTGCAATGGAACGAGTCTGACACTTGATCAGTGCCGCCGAATTGTTCTCGGATGTCGCCTTGCGACAGGAAGTAGGGAGAACCAATACATTCTTCTTGCTCAGACTGATAACTACACCGATAATGGTCTTCCTTTCCGTCTACGAAGACGCCTATTCCCTATTTTTTTTTTGCCTTTGCAACGACTATCAACAAGGCTCAAGGACAGACATTATCGAGAGTTGGAGTATATCTTCCTGATGACGTTTTTCCAACTGCCAACTTTACGTTGCGTTATGAAGAGTTCGCAGCCCGAGTCCAATAAAAGTATTGTCGCCTCGAGAGAAGGTTTGAAATATAGTTCAGAAGAATGTCTTATGAGTGAGCGAAAACCAAGGCTATGAAAAGAAGAAGATAAGCTAAGTCCACCCACAAACAATAAGTTGTAGAATATCTAAGGTGGGCCAAAAACACACCAATAGAAATCTAGATAATAAAAAGCACTGTAAGTAATAAGTTGCAGTAAGAAACCTTGCAAATGAATGGCCCTGTGCAAGGGTGCCATCGCCACATCCTAACTGGGAGAGGGGAAATTCTTTTCTAGGAGTCGCAAAAAAAGATTAATGAGAATCTTGAAGTTGAGTTGTTGAAAGGATTATCGGTTTTTTGATTGATCCGAAATTTTCAGCATGTGTACATTACATGAGTGCCCCTAATGGTCCGAAATTTTCCAAGAGGCTCGCGTTTTATGAGTGTTCCTAATGACCATACACAGATTTGAGATTCTTGCAGAATTGAAGGCATCCCTGACTCTGGCTAATGAACATGGTGTGGTGAGGTGAGGAACTGACGCTCTCGGCAGAATTAAAACTTTTTTGAAGAGGCTGCATCGGTGAAACTAGCCTGAATTTGAACCAAAATTTCGGAACAGTGTGCGCATCAAACATAAGTTCTCTGGAATAGCCTCAGGTAATTCCCCCTTAAGGAGATTGGGTATTACAGAACTGATTGTGTTGACTGTAGATGCTCCCAGAAAGAGCATTTGGGTAGTGTAGCTGAAGGGATTAATAGTTCTCCAGTTGATCGAAACTTCCAAAAGGTATGCTTTACGTGAGTATCCCTAACGAGGGTCAAAGCACAACTCGCCAGAGGAAATCAAATTCTTACAGGAATAAACACATCCCTGGCTCTGGCTAATCTATGTGATGTGGTGAGGTGAGAAACTGACGCTCTCTGCAGAATTAAAACTTTTTTAAAGGGGCTGCATTGGTAAATTTGACCTGAATTTGAACCAAAATTTCGGAGCGGTATGTTACGAACATGCGCTTTTTGAACAACCCTAGGAGATTCTACCTCGAGGACGTGGTTCTCATTGGAACGAGTTGAAGTAGGATTTATTCCGAATTATAACTTTTCATATGAAGCGGAAGTTGCAAAGAAATACGCGTCGCATGATTATTATGGACCTGATGCCACTATACTTCTGCTATTTTCGTTAAGAGTAGCAAGGTAAGTTAAGAAAATTCATCTCTCAATTTGACGCAAATTCGACCGTCTCACTAAGTCTGACACTTTTGAGTGGGTCAAACTTTGTATAATGTATGAACTCCAATCACAAAGTTTGAGTCGTAAGATACATGTGTAATGAAATAGATTCATGTACAAGATTTCATGACTAACGAATTCATTTCATCGTTATATATTCATTTCGAAAAGAAATCCCAGTTTGTTTGTACCAATCTTTGTCCCTATTACATAAGAAAGAGGGTGCCCAGCGATAGCCGGGCAATCCGACTGGTTAAATGTATATAGTAGGATGCTTTGACCAGCAGGTGATAGGAATGTTGCATGATTCCCTGTGTTAGGATTTACTCTTATTAGTGACTCGAGGCTCCTTTTCTCCGACATTATCGCAACACTGTATGCTGTATGCCGGCTCGGCATTCACGAAAATGACCCCCCGTCTTGTGTAATTAAGTTAGTTAGTTGTAGTTACATTTTCTTCGTTCTTCGTGCTTTTTCTTGATTGCGCATTTCCGCACGGTTGTCATCACTGCCGAAATGAATCATCCCTGCTAACATACACTTAGAGGACCCATTCATGTCACCATTAAATAGTATTCAAGCGATTTTTCCATTTCTTCCCATACTCCATTTTGTTTCTTCTTCCGAACGTGGCAAGCACCGCTAAAAGAAGGAACAGAGGCCAGTTTACTTAACCGCAATTTCGTCTTGCTGCACTGTGACCTACCAACTTGTTTTGATTCCTTTCACTGCACACCTCTGTGGCGCCTCCCTTGACAATTTTTGTGTTGGTTTACGTCAATGTTGCCGGTGTGCTAATCCCGATTAATAACGGAATGAGTAGGTTCGCTGATAACGAAGTGGTTTAGCACTAATTTGAAAACTTCGATTATATAATACAAGAAATACATGCTAACCAGTAGCAGGTATGTGGTCAACACAAACCTTATGTTTGAAGTTCAAATTAATTTTCAATAAATGTACATTTCATTCTGGCGCAGTTGATCAGCTACGACGTAGCCTGAAAATGTCTACAGCCAGAGAGTCCTTTTTCACTTTTTATCATACAATACCGAGTTGGATGAATCGCCTCCAACCGAACCTCGAGCTGTTAATTGACCCCCCACTGTTGATCCCTATTGGCTCACTGCCTTCGCCGTGTCCATTCAAGAACACGCCTGGTGACACATATTGATATGGAACTGGGAGAAAGAAACGAGAAAGCTAGGGGAATTACAGCACAGCTTTGTGCTAAATTTACTTGCACTATGTACAACTAATCGCGTGTAACTTCACTTTTTGCTTGTTCAAACCGTTTCTTCGACTTGCCCCCAACTTTCGATGTTACGAGATTTGGGGGACATCGACACAAAGATCCCGCCCAATCAGCCCAGAGAAGCGCACATTGCTCGCTAACGATGGTGCCTCACCGTTTGCAAGCTCAGTGCACGACGGCTGATCCAAACCCCATCGGATCCCTTGTCGGGTGCGATCATGAGACGCAACCACTCTCTCTGCGCCATCGGGTGGGTCGAGTTACGAGCACTTCTGCGAGCCATTTCAGAGCGGATCAGGCTGAGACAGCACGGATTATTGAAGACATGGCAACCTGCCTAATTCGATGTGCAAAATGGAATATCTGCCTATCAACTCTTATGTGACACAGAGCCGTAACAAAGCGAGTCAGAGAGGTCGACGCCGAGGGGTCAATTAGCTCGGCGTTCAGTTAGTAGGCGATCCAGGCACACAACATCAAAGTTAATGATAATAACAGTTCGGAAACATGACCCCAAGACTTTTCTAGCGTTACCTTTTTCCAGCCATATCGTAGCGGGAGCACTGAAAGCAATCGTAAAAAGTGCATCCATTGAAACTCACTGAGAAATTTGAAAAAAAAAACTCCGTCCATCCATAACTATGACATGATCCTTATATCACATGCAATTGATATATCATACGATTCGAGCCACCAAATAAATGCAAAACTACTCGGTTTCTCTGAAATGAACCGCTGGAAAGATTTAACACTCTAGTTTTGGAAAATTTATATTGAACTAATTGAAAATTTAGAAAGCCCATGAAAACTCAAAATATATCCGTAATCCCCATGATCAAAGTTCCTCATTGGTCTAATACACAGAGTACACGGCTGAAAAAAGGCACGAATTTTTGAAAGCTTGGTAACTCGATCCATTGTTTTCAGCTGAGCTTGTTTGAGTTTCGTCACTAGGGATATCAAAATAATCACCATTTCATGCTCTCCTCGAATATAGTGTCGTACATATCGTTTCACGAAGTTTCCAGTTAAAGTGGAGGGTTTACGATGCTGTTATATCCACTTCAATTGGGAACTTCCTCTTCAGTGTTCCAAACATATGTACAGCTTTATACTCGAGAGAAAGTATGAAAACGAAAACGATTATTTTGATATCCCTAGGTACAAAGTTTAAGTAAATACTGCTGAAATTAGCGAATCAAATTACTAAATTTTCAAAATTTCCAAAAGTTCTCCAAGCCACGTATTTTGTGTGGAAGACTAATGAGGAACTCGAGGCATGAAGATTCCAGATGTATAATGCGTTTCTATCCTGCGGTTCATTTCACAGGAGCTGCGTAAATTTGTACTTACTCAGAAGCTCGATTCGTATGGTGTAAGAACACAACAGGTGGTACTCATGCGGTCATCAGGGTTTCTTATTCGAAATTCCACAGTAATTACCAACGGAAGCACATATGACATCCTTGACGTTATGTTTTTGTGCTATCATTATCAACAACATTGATGTAGGATGGCTTCTAAGTGACCGCTGAGCTGATTGATCCCTTAATATCGGCCACTATAAGACCACCGCTTTGCTATGGCTAGATTTCTTGAAACCATATCTGGTCACTTAGAAGATGATAAGCAGTTATCCCTTCCGAAAATCGAACTGGGCAGGCTGCCACGTCTTTAACACATTACCTCAATTAAGGCATTCATTTCAGCTTCCGGAAGTCATAAAGATCAAATTACTTACAAAGAAGGTCTTTCAGAGCGTTGGACGCTTTTTGAAAATGGTTTTTGCATGGCGAAGGGGCATCAGCACCGAGTGCAGAATCATGGTCCATTTCCGCCGAATGGCCATCTGAATGCCAAAAATGGAGTGAAAATGATTTTGTCAGAAATTGCCATTTTAAACCGATTAGCGTCGCTTGTTTCATTCATGGCGTCGACTGTCCGCACAGTAAAAGGCGCCAGTGGACTGCACATTGAAAATAACGTGAACGGTAGCCAAAAAAGGAAGCCACATGTTGAAACAGCTTAAAAGTGCGGGGAAGTTTCATATGTGCTCTCCGCGGTTGAGCTGATGGCAGCGACGGATGGTGTGGTGGATAGCGATGTGGACTGTGTTGGGACAAGTAGACTGGGTTGATGGTATAGAATTTCTCTACATAACCAGGAAGAGCTATACTTGATACAGGTAATAATACATGCAAATATTAAAATTCAATGGAAGTGACAACAAATAATGAGTGAACACCCTAAGCGGTAAGTTGGCTGGGAACGAAAGGTCACCCTTCTCAACCATTAATGAATTTCTTATCCATAGGGTTCGAGTTTTCAGAAGTGCAAGCTAAGCAACGTCGATAATACAATACGCAGTCCTAAACTGATCCGGTGGCTTTCTGACAGTATCAACCAAAGTGATATAGGAATCAAGCCATCCACAAAGAACAAATGACAGCTGCTAAAGATATTAAAGAATTGTACAGTATTTTGGTCTACACGGTTTGCATCTAACAACAGTTTTTGTAATGCCATAAAATATCCGTATCATTCAACACCTTGACGGTGACGTGTTTGGAAAAAAATGCGTGTTAACTTCGAATTAACTCATAACATGACCTAACACTTCCTGAATCAACTATACCCTGCTGCTACCTTCCTCGATATGGGCCGGTTGAATTTACGAGCACTTCTTTGAATCATTTGCTAGCGGATCAGGTTGATCGTTATAACAGCATGGGTTTCCGACGAGTTCAGTCATGTTATGACTTGAGTTGGTGCTCACATGCATTCTTTCCGAACAGCTCAAGGGCTTTCTAGCCGTGATCGTTTTCAGGCCATATCATAGCTGATCAACTATGTAACGGTGAAATGTACATACATTGAAAGTTAATGTGAACTTTGGATGAAAATTTATATTGACTACATACCTGCGACTAGTCTGCATGTATTCCTAGTTTAACATAATCGGAGCCTTCGAATGGGTGCAAAACTAATCCGTTTCCCATGAAATGCATCTCTGGAGAGAACTAGCAAATACTTGAAAAATCTGTAATTTGAATCGCGTTTTCTGCTGAAACTGTTTAAGTCCTGTCATGAAGGATATCGAAATGAACACGATCCAGTGATCCCCTCGAATATGCCGCCATAGATGCCTTCCAAAAACTGAGAACGTAATTTTCAATTGAAGTGGATGGATTACGTTGATGTTATATACGCAGGTAACCCTTAGGAACTTGAGTTTCCTTCCATTTTATCGAAAATGAAGCTGCAAAATCGAAGAATTTCAAGAATTCATAGTATGACCAGATTCTCTCTAAGCAGGGCTATGCAATGATTTTCCAAAGAGAGAAGATAAAACCGAATGATGCAAATCATTCGCTCCACTGACATTGAGTAGTACTGAAATGTCACCCCGATATCGCAGAGGGCTGCGCCGTGAGTGAAGTGGGCGGGGTGACCTGCTTTCGGGAAGCGGACGCGCGGAACGGACGTCCCCCCTCGAAACACCGTCTTTGCATTACCCCACGAAGGGCGCCCTCGACTATCCGTGCCAGTATACTTAATACTTCACCTGTTGAAGATGGTGGCCAAGGTCGATAAGCGAGCGACCTGGATCCGACTCGTCGATCGCATAAGCCGATCCCGACGGCTCCATTTCAGGGTTTCCAGCGATTTCATCAGACTACTCTTCATCGAGGACCATTGTCTACAGTAGAATTTGTGAGGATAAAAACCTCATTTGCTAAGAATTATTTTCTATTAAGAGGCCCATCGCGGAGAGATGGGTTTCTAAAAAAAATAATTCCTAGCAACTGAACTACACGCCCCTTAAGCAGAGAAGCATCTCTACTGAGCTTGTACATAAAAACACAAACGTCTCTCAGTGACATCGCTACCTTCATGGTCTCCACAAGATAAAAACTGAACAAAGGAAAATTTTCTGGAGAAAATCTCTCATACAACTTTTAAAAGAGTTCTGCTGACGTTTATACATAATGTTCTCCTCCGAATGTTCAATTCTAATAGGATGAGGTCACATATTCAAGATGGTAATATATGTTATCGACAAGAATATCTAGCAAAAAATGAACAAATAGGATTCCAAAATGAGAGAAATAATGAAGAAAGGCTGATATATCAATAGATCCCTGATCATACTCTGGGGAACATACACAAAGCGTTAAATCCTTCTGAGATTATATACCGGAATTCCCAAAATCAAATCAATAAGGTGAACACTACAGGGTGTCCCAAAATTATTGGCGCCGATTTATAGCAATATATTTGAAACTTCTCAGCTGTGAAAGACGATGGAATTTCTATGCACGCTAGCTAACACTATGTGCTACAAAATGCTAAAGTCGCATTTCAAACTATCCCTCGTGAACGCGGATACAAGTCAAAGTTTGCTCTCGACTTGATCGCATGTGGCACGCAGGTATCCTTCTCCATTTCTTCCCAGCCATTCCTCAGCCTTTGCATTCTAGGACTCCAAACTGGGACTGCAAACTCAACAGGTCCTCTTCTAACCAGGGACCATTCGTGGGGTCAAGTGAGTCAAGTTCTGGAAAATAGGATGACCATTCCTCTTCACCAATGAAGTCGGGCAGCTGTCGTCGGCACCACTCGCGGGCAAGCTTGGCTCTGTGGGCTAGAGTAGCGTCCTGCTGGAAGGACTACGAGATGTTTCAGAAAAAGTAGTCTGATCAGTGTTTCAGTACTTTCATCAGTACGCTCTTTGAGTACTGGTCTTGGTCAATTTTCACGCCTGCACCGAAGAAACCACGAGCGGCTTACCCCTGCCACTGATTTCCTCGAAAGACATCATTTTACTGTTCTGATTGCAACCTTTTTGTGAGATATTACACATTAGATGTTTCTTTCCGGATTGCGAACGTTTTGGTTGTTGAGGGATGGTTTTATCGTAAAAAATTTTTTGGCCAGATAAAACAACGAAGGGTTGGGTGTCATCACTCAAGTGGGACTGCGACTTTCTGCTTTTTCTGGCCATGCAGTGTCTGTTGAGATCGGAATTGGAGCATACGATAGGAATGGTAGTGAAGCTTCTGCATGACATTCTTCCATGGCGATAACTCCTGTAAGCCGTGCCCGTTGACTTTCTTTTGATGGGTCACCCAGGATCCCGACCGATTGGCAGACGGACCATTTTAATAGTCCTATCTTCAAAAACATTCTACCTTTCTATCTTTCCTGGCTTGTCTCTGATTCAATCTTCTTTTCAATATCATTTAATAGACTCCTATACGGCTATTATAAAAATCCCAAGGAATTTCATAATGCCCTTCCACCTCTCGCGCGACAATGATTGCAAGTGGCATTGAATGAGCCTCCTCCATCTGAATGATATTGGGAGTTCCGCATCAGTAACCATGCACATTGCAAGGAAACCGTCTTATGCAACTAATTAATAGCAGGTAATGTGAATTTGATAGATTATTTCTACCTTAAAAATTTCTGATCTTGGGCGCCAATAATTTTTGGACGCCCTGTACATCAGACGGCTAAGCATCTACTATGGTTAGTAGAAAGCAACTTCCATGACACTGGTATTTTGGGGCTCAGCATCACATGCATGATAGAAAGTGTGTCCAGATATGTTACACGTTGTCCTTTGTTAGTTTTGATACGAATATACGTACTGAGTGGCAAGTCCCTTTTATGAGAGTTATGCAATCCAATTCCCTTGCGACAGTTACATCCCCTTCCAAATGCTCCAGGTAAAAATCAACAACCAACAAAGCACACTCGAAGACATGCACTCAAGATAAAAACGGTATTGGATTCCTAACATTCACTCAAAAACGTCTTTCTGAAATGTAGCCTAATGTGTTCTATTAGAAAGCATAACAATGAGCATGTTCGCTAATCGTTGGAGCAATCTGCAGTTGGCTGTCACGTTCAAATGACGTGGACCTCATAAACCATTGAACGAAACCTTGGCGACGTAAAGAAGGGCATCATCCAGCTCAGAGAAAACTCGACACTGGCGACGTTTTGCCATGTCCTGAAAGTGACTATACCGAGTACCACTATAGAGTTTTACAGCGCCAATTTGCAGAATGCTGTTTCTGCCTGTAGAACTGCCGAAAAACCCGAATCATGAGTTGATTTCGCAAACTGTACCAAATATGTCCAGGACAATTATGGTACAATGACTGTTTGAGTCACGTCTCCTATCCAATACTTCGGTGAGTCAATTAATGATTTGAACCTTAGTTACATCCCTTCGGATGGATTTGTGCTGATCCTAGTCTTCCATTGGGTTTTTCATACTTCTAGGTTTCGAGGTTTTGGAACTACTCGTGAAGTAATTTATCTGCTGTGCAAATAGATTGTTCAAATCCTACGTTCGTTCCCAGCGAATTCTTAAGTTGTCACCCGTAATGAAAGAATGGAACAATACCGTATATTGATCCATATTAACTGAGTAAAAATTAATTTTGATGCAACGTCGAATTATTCTTCACCTGGATATCTAGAGGGCAGGCCCAAAATTCGGCCTGAAAAATTGCTTAATTGGCAATCACAAAAAATAGCAGTATAGAAAATAACAATCACACCTGCAATAAAGCAGAAAGAAAGCTCTCTGACGACATGAGGTGCTCCGAATTTCTCTTCTATACTGTAGAAAGTTACCAGCGCAAAAGAAAGAACAGGGACCGTGAAAAAGCTCCACAAAAACCAATAAAAAGTCAGGAAATCCTAGCCAAATTAATAGCTGAACATTTCAAAGTAGTTGTGGCTGAGCTTGAATCGCTTCATGCGAACTTTCCTATAATATGGATGATAACTCACATTTGTTCGTTCATCTTGAGAGAAACTTCACACACCTACTGGTTAGTTCATTTTTTATGCTTCCATGAGTCAATAGTTTTTTTGAGCGTTCCTGTTGTTATTACGTTCACCCCTATATATCGTGTATACGCATGTCGCAAAGCATATCACAGCGAGCTTACTTGTTTGAAAACTCCACAAGATTAGTCTGCACAGAATAGTTATAGTTCCAAGGATACAAATTTGGATGACTACGCTGTGTGAATATTTCTGCGGCTTTGTTTCGATTACCGCAACATGACCTCAATCGAGTATTTCTCCGCAGCTACACTAGTTATCCGTATTGACGAAGTAAGGGCACGTTGCACTTCTCTTTGCATTAGGCACGCAATCGAAAACACTTGCTTTGTCAACGACAGCGTTGGCTTACCTCGATGTAATTTTAGTGATAAGTGGTGGCTAGTACAACTCGCGAGCAGGAAACCCAAAAATGACAAGAAAATTTGAAAATTTTTAATTCTCCAAAAATGATGTGCAGCCAAGCAACAATTAGGTTTATTAGTTAATTCGATCGGTGGGAGGAAGAAGAGTAGAGAAAGTGCGTCGACCGACATCGGCAATGCAGGCCCACGTCATTAACCGCCGAAGCCTCACTTTTAGTTTTTTTTTTCGCTGACAACAGAGACATACTTCCACCTGATACTCAGTTCAACAAATGCTGTAGAAGAGACTGCCATACCTTGGTATTGGTAATCTCTATCCCTTTAAAAATATCATTTAACTATAGTGCGTTTGATCTCTACACATACGTCCACTCTTCGTTTTCCCAAAACCCTACACGGAGAAGTTGCTCAGTTTGTGGCATACACCATCAGATTCGCTACACATGAAAACAATGACACACGTGCAGCCGTTTCCTGCTATGCGTCTACCCTGATTAATAGTTCACTTACTGTTAGTGGGACATTTCACTGGAAACAGTAGTCAATTGGTGCTCCTTTCTTCAACGCCAGCTTAGATGATGTAGCATATCTGGTGACCAGGTTCTCGACGACTGCAGAACTGACGCTTTTCCACAGATGCGAGACCGAATCTTTCAGCACGTCGATTGCGAAAACTGCCTGCAATTATTGTGAACCCGTCGAACAATGATACCTCTGATTTTGCTATGCACCAGGTCAGGACTACACGTCGGCCACTCCATAACTGCGATCCTGTGCCGCTGGATCCACATCAAAGCTGAACTACTAGTGTGGACGCTTGCATTATCCTGCTGGAAGACTAGCTTCTACCGTTGCCACAGGTCAATGAGTGGCAGTTCTCCCCTTTTCCCCTCCCCTTGGCTCCCCTTTTTTGTCTCAATAATTCCTGTCTGTCCTTCGAACCGTCATCGATTCGCCGCCTGAAGTTCACCGACTACACTGCACTGCTTCTTCTGCCAGTCTCGCCTGTAGCATCGGCAGCCATCAGGCTCATCCAACTTAGAATTCTTATTGTAGTGAAAATCAACGGAATACACGAAATCGTAAAATACAGGGTGCGCCATAACTATGGTATCAACTTAACGGATGCTCGCCATTTCTTGTTTGGGAGATTTCCCTACATTTGCACCTTCTCTTATATTTAGCATACTCCTTAGCTTACATATCTGCATTGGTGGTCTCAATTCGTCAGTTTTCGAAGAAATGGTGAGTCTCGCAATTATCCAGTGGAAGTTTGAAGAAGTTTTAGACGCACTTTGTGAATTCATGTCTGGGATCTCTCGTCGTTCCAACAACTCACGCATGACAGTCTCTTGTATCATGGTACGTGGATAGGTCAACGCCAGCCTTGAGACGGTCTGCTTGCCTCGATTACAAACCCTTTTACGGTTACAATTGCTTGGGAATGATTACGCTACGAAGCCTTCAGAACACGAGAAAAATGAATGCCGCATTGGATGTATCTATGTTTTATAATACTTCAATGAGAATAGTCTTGACGCTTGACGAGGAGAATTTTGAAAGGAGGTCAAATGTCGTGTCCCACGTGGTCGAAGTGGGTCGAAGCGCGTGCCCTGCCGTGCACGAGGCACGCGCTTCGACCCACTTTCTTCTTACGAAATGTTCAGCGCTAAAGAAACCTTCAGATCCCAGAGTACACGTATATTTCTCACTATGAGTGGCGAAGAAGTTGAGCAGAATCAGATCATTTCCAGTGACTATTTTTCTCATCTATGATGATTTGGGCAGGTATCTGTCATTTCTGAGAAGGTGCTGCATAGGTCCGAAAATCATTCGGAGATTATTTCAGAGGACGATTTGCAAACACTCGCGTACTTGCTCATGAATGGAAAAAGATCAAGACTAGTGTTGAGGAGATGTTCGCGATTTCATCCCTGCTTCCAATTGGCCTATGAATTTTCGGCCCGCAATTCAATGGGTCCGTAGGTATTTGTATATTGGAGAGGGAAGCCTGCGCTTCGAAACACATCGCTGTTCCTGGTTCTAGAAATCGTCGAAGAAAGTCCGGACTGGAGTTTCTCAAGAAACTCGGCATGCCACAGTCGATGAGTAGCGATGCATCTTCGAGCTATTATTAGTGCACGTTATATCAGATGGCCGCACGTTCAAACTATCGGTGCATGGAAGTAGTTCACATAAATTCACCTGCATCAATATGAATTGCGGTTTCAACAATTATTTTGTTACCATATTTATGGCGCATCCTGTATTTATACCGCTAGTTTTAGAACTCCCAATCCCTCGAAATGTGTCCTCGGGCAAACTCAAGACGGGAAAGTTCTTGAACCTCCGTTATGCGTGGCGCCTCTTTCGCGACTTCTCGCACATTGTCGCTAATGCGTTCGATACCGCCTACAGACCGTCGATTCCAAAACAGGTAGTCCCAAGAGCGCTTAGATTTAATTGACACTGCGCCTACTGTTGAAAGGTTGCTTCCAATTCTCGTCCATCTCCTGCGAATAGCTTTCTCCTTGGTTCAGTGGCTCCACCGATACCGTAGGCCTCAGGATATTTAAGGTAGAAGAGAAAACACACTGGCTCCAGCCGAGTTGCTTGGCGACTGCGAAATGCCGCGTCCGGCATCGCACGAGGTCAGCATTTGGTACTTTTCTTCCGTAACTGGCCGATAAACAAGTGGCATCGCGACAGGATATTTTCGCGGTACTTGTGGTTAGTTACGTTAGTTAGGTACGCAGTGTTCAGTTGGAAGGGTGGACGTCTAGAACGAAAGGGTCGAAATTTAAAAAAATAATTGTTCAAGAAATATTCAAGAGGTCATTTTTTTGAAAACATGGTTATCACTGTTATCTTGAATGCGAATCTGGGTCTAGTTCAGAATCGAGTCGGCGCACCAAGTTACATTTTTGGTGAAATAAGGGGTGGACGTATAGCAGCGAAACGCAGTGTATGCGAGAGGGCAGTGTTAGGCAGCCAACTAAGCGAGTTCACCTTACGGACCATTAAACGTGTTGTAGTCTAATACCCTTCTACACGAATTCGACTTCCGGTAGAGTTCAGTTGTACAACAAAAGCCTTGGACAGTGACACGAACTATGGACCACCTTACGTTCAATGTTCAGAGGAGTTTGAAATCGACAAAAACACATGGATTAGCTTTAGTTGCTGAATACTAGACATGAAGCTGATGACAATCAAATACCATATAGATCAAGAAACCATAAATTTGATTGTTCCCGCACGTTACGTGAAGATCCGCTGCAAATTACGCTTACCGAAGTTTTTCCCTTCATAAAGAGAATCAGGAAATTAAAGGAGGTCATGACAAACCACTAAAATGCTTGTTTACTATACAATGAGCATTGATCTAAAGCTAGCACTTCTTAGCGCTGCCTCCGGTAAAATCTAGGAGTGGTCATCACTTAGGTGTTCCTCCTTCTGATCAATAGGCGTAAGCTCCTATCGATTTTCACAACCCCCAGTTCTATGACCTACATGTGCCACAGGTAGCAGGAAAAAGGATTTTGACTACTCCCACCACATCGTCATAACCACACCTGCGCAGCCACCCTAATGTCCTAGTTGATGACATCAAACGATTGAATAATAGTCAAAAAGCCCTCTTGAAACGGTGATCTTTCGATGGGTGACCGGCTTCGAGACCGCTGTTCTTCACGAACATTGGAAATTCGTTGTGAACAACTTCGCCTACATCCGGTTAGTTCTATTCGCAGTTCTGCACATGATCCTTGCGGTGGGACACATGCAAACTCCGCAAGGACGAATACATCAGTTGAAAAGGGCGACCGTTGAGGCTGCGGTGCAAAGCCTTAGATGCTTGGAAAGTCGAATAAATCAACACCTGACTCCCTGCTGGGCGATCATTTAGGCAGAATCTAAAGTTGTCATAAGGATCTTGACATGTGAAACATCTCCCCCTCCTCTGAAGAAGTTTGAGGAACGAATCACAAGTAAACTTGCGCACTCGCTTCCAGTAACTTGAATAACGTTTGTAGGGTGGTTGAAGAGCTCTATTATAACAAACACAATATCTGTCCCATCAATGAGAGCGCTCTTCCGTAGATGCCACATACACAGTACCTGCTTTTGAATCACTTACGGTTTTCAACGGCCTAGCGCTTCGACACACGACAGTTTTTTTTTCTCCAAGGCCGGCGTTCTACCGTTAGGAGGAAACCAAATCCGCTATTAGCACAGGGAACTGTCAAGCGACAATTGACCGGATGCGAGAAGAAAGATCTAGGAATAACAACGATCAAGGCAACAGCAAGGTCGGAAACACTCCCTGTGTTTTGCAATCATAAGGGCTATAAGTTTCTGAAATATTAGGTTGTAAGGAAAGTCCTGCAACACAATGAAGGTCTTCTTCAAATCAATTCTGAAAATTTCGAGACCAATCAATTTTCGGAAACATATTTACCAAAAAGGTCAACAACCTTCTGTTATGTTTTGAGTAAATCACTGAAGCCTTTTATCCAGGAGTGAGGAAGCTGTGACTCAAAGAAGTAATAGACTGCCGTTTTCAGATCATATTGAGTTACGATTTTTTTTTCAACAACGGGATGCTCAAGAAGGCGGAGTGCGTGGTAGGTAAAAGGGGCAACACTTGGGGAGTACGACTGATGAACAACCTGGAACCAATTGGAATCGTAAAACTTTTGACACGGGTTCAAAGCGAAATTTCGACGTGCGTTGACCCTTTGTAGGGACCTGATTTACGATTTTGATCGTCCTTCTCTAACCCTGTTGGCCAAATTTCGGGATTCATAGGGGTAACATATAGCTGTGTCCATCTAGTCCGCGTTTAGCAACTCATGGTGGTCGGATCTCTTCAGCCTCATTAAATTGAGGGATGATGCTTGCGTAACTTCGAAGGCAAGTATCTCCTCCACCGAAGCGATCCAACCGATTGTTGACCGTTGACTGGTGAGCAGTGCCAGCACTGAATAAGTTGCTGATAATTTGAGCTGCTACACCTGCGTTTTTCCCTTGGCGTGCTTAGTACGAAGTGATGGTACGAATCGGGTGTTGTCCATTCATTGACCGTAACGCTGCTAAAGCCCACACGCGTGCCCTTATTTACTCATATGTTGATTACCTGAGGAATGCCCTACAAGTTTACCACTCTTGCTACCGTGTTCACACTGTTGATACAAATTGCTGACGCTTCAGATTTTTTGTTGCAGGACTTTCCTTCCAACCTAATACAATCTATGGATTAGAATAGTGAGAACTACGAAGTGCAAAGGCTGTTTAAGCCAGGTGTTTATTACCGTTAGTTGACACTCACAGCGAAAAGACGTGATAATATGAGAATGAGAGAAATAGAGGTGCTGGAATTGAATGGTCCGGGATAGATCGCATCGTTGTGGGAAACGCATTAAACAAGAAAGCATGCTCAATCTGATATCATTCGAAACTGGCAGCAGTTAAATTTGACGGGGATTATGTTATTATAACTATGCTTTCTGTTTGTGCAGGTATCACTGAATATGCCTTCGAAATTTGCTACTCTATCTATCAAGTACGCTGTTCCTCCCTTTTGGGAGCCTCCTTCACAAGTTTTCAACCTGGAAAAACAGGAGGCTTGAACAATTTATTCAGATTCTAAATAGCTCACCTTTAGATAACAAAAAGCAATCTGGTAACAGTCGTTTCGACGTCGTCTCGAAGCCCTCTCTATATCGTCCTCCATCGTTGGTGGCGCTTCCAGAGTCTCTGCTTCTTTAGGTACACAAAGGGTGATTTGCCAGTTTGTATGTCCTAGTATGTATGCGACCTAATACATACGAAAATTAAGTTGCTTCGCAACCCACGCGAAAAAGTATGAACAGAAAAAAAATACTGTCAAATACTGTCAACATCTGGAGAATCCTACCTCAACCATTCCTGACAGAAACGTTTTAGTAGTTGGAATTAGGTAGAGGAAGTGCTTTAGTTGTGGAGCCCAAGTCATCAGACACTTCATACGACATTCCGGTTCTATGCCACTCATCACCAACAGACGAGAGTATGGGAGATTATGTCGACTAAACGACTTATTTTTAGTAGCACGTCATGAAGTTTCAGACTGAATGGTGCTTGCTCGAGAAATAAGATTGATCAAGGCCCATTACTACGGTTTACCTGTGAAAGCAAACAATACAATGTTCGAACTCGTACAAGAATCCTACTTGTGTGTATGTGTGTTTGTTCGACCGAGAATAAATACCTTCTGTCCCATTGGACCTGGAGGATTCAAACTTGGTAGGAGTCCAGGCGGCAGGATGGGAACACTTACGGCTAGTGGCAAGATCGGACTCCGCCCATAGGTAGCGAGGTTCATGCGAAATGAAAAAATTGAGCTAAAATTCACAACTTTTACTCCCGTGGATCTAGAACGATCAAATCTTGCAGGAGTACAAGCGAAATTTTGGGAACGCTGATGATAGGTGGTAGGACAACGCTTCATTCACAGGAGGCCGGGCGTGAGCTGAAATTGTCAGTTTGAACCTGAGCCGCTCGAATTTGATAGGGGTGCAGGCGGTAGGATGGGGTTGCTGATGGGCGGTGGCACAACCAGACTACACCCTTGAGGGACGGAGCGCGCAGGAAGATTAGTGATTTGGAAGTAGGGCATTCAAATTTGGCACGGCAGGATGAGAGCACTATGGTATTTAGTAGAATGTGAGAGAACTGGACCCCGCCCGTTGGGCCTAGGGGTTCTGGAGGGAGCGGGCCATGCGTGAAATGAGCGTAAATTGGGTGAAAACACACAAAAAATAAAATAAGAGGGAAATGAACCATGTTAGCTGAACACAATGGACTTGAGCAGGACTTTGATTATGGCGGGCAAGGAAATGTGTCGGGAGGTGTGTATGTGTTTCGCTGAAAATCATAGCTCCTAATTCTTGGACCAGAGCTTTTGAACTAGAGGGGATGCATGCGGCGGGTCAACTTAACACAAGGAGGAGATCCTGGCGTTAGCCGGGCCATTCGCTGTTAAAGGGTTCCAGACACTGATTAACAAAAAGTATAAGTAAAGTATAGGATAAGTATAGTATATAGTGTAAGTAAAAAGTCATATAATTTGAATCACCAATCAACTATTCACCGACGGTTGATCAAAATCACTGACAATTAGTTTGCAAAGCCAGAACAATACTCATCGCCCGCTCAAGAGAAGTTAGCCTTCGGAAATGCGCAGTACTATGCACGACATTACCCCTTGGATTGTGCAATACTTGACAATTCTTGCATCGTACGATAGCAATTCCTCTTCGAAAAGATTCTAATAAATTTTAAGACACTAACTCTGGAGCAAAATTCTTTCGAAATACCCTTCGAATTTCGTAGAAACACAAAGTACAGGGTGTCCCAAGATTATGGGCGCCAAAATTGAGAAGCTTCTAAGGCTTGCAAAATACGTGGTTACTGAAGGGAAACTCCCAATATCTTTTAGGTGTAGGAGGCTCATATTCAATGCCACTTGCAATCATTGACGCGCGAGAGGTGGAAGGGCATTATGAAATTCCTTGGGATTTTTATAATAACCATATAGGAGGCTATTTAACGATACAGAAAAGAAGGTTGGATCGGAGACAACTTAGGGGAGATAGAAAGCCCAATGTTTCTAAGATAGGACTAATAAAATGGTCCGCCTGCCAGTCGGTCGTGATACTGGGTGACCCATCAGAAGGAAGTCAACGTGCACGGCTTATCGGAGTTATCGCGATGGAAGAATGTCATTCAGAAATCTTCATTGCCACTTCTATCGTATGGAGAAATCCCACTCCATTTCCGATCTTAAAGGCACAGTTCACGAAAAAATGGTTTCGGAGATTTGCACATGGTTTGTATTCGACGCCCCCTCTGATACCAATTGTGCAGGAATGAGATCGGAAAACGGTCTGGATAGGGCACATATGGGGTCGGAGAGTGAGCCACGGTCGCCCTCCGCCCCTCGCTAGGCTGACTACGAAATCTAATTGCCGTTCACCACTTTCGCATTGGAGCGAAGTTGGTGAAAAATCGATAAGCTGGTTGGCAAAATGCCAGAGACGGTCAGCTGGTCGACCGCCTCCTTCTGGTACAAATATTCGGCTGTATTTCTACTATTCGACTGATGTTCTGCTCTATTCCGTTCTAGTCAATTATTCTCAGCCGTCATCAAAAGGATCAGGCACAATAATCTCAAAATCTTAATATCGTCAGTAGAATAAATAATATTAACGAAGAAGCCAAAATCAGCCGTTTGAGCGTGTTGTGTGCAATGGCAGACATTACGTCGCATTCGTCTACTCGCCTGAAAATGCCCTTACCGCCGTTTTCCATCANGGCTGACTACGAAATCTAATTGCCGTTCACCACTTTCGCATTGGAGCGAAGTTGGTGAAAAATCGATAAGCTGGTTGGCAAAATGCCAGAGACGGTCAGCTGGTCGACCGCCTCCTTCTGGTACAAATATTCGGCTGTATTTCTACTATTCGACTGATGTTCTGCTCTATTCCGTTCTAGTCAATTATTCTCAGCCGTCATCAAAAGGATCAGGCACAATAATCTCAAAATCTTAATATCGTCAGTAGAATAAATAATATTAACGAAGAAGCCAAAATCAGCCGTTTGAGCGTGTTGTGTGCAATGGCAGACATTACGTCGCATTCGTCTACTCGCCTGAAAATGCCCTTACCGCCGTTTTCCATCATGAAACTCGTCCAACCCCTTTTTCTCTTTTTTTTGACCGTTTATAGTTCTTTTTCTTTTTGGCTGTTTTTCGCGTTTTATGCTTTACCATTGTCCTAATGTAGGCCTTACCTATCACTATCTGTGAAATACCGGATACCCCTAGATTATCGTGAACGGTGCCTTTAACAGACAGTGTAGGGATGTTGCGTCGGTGTGTGTGTTTCGCTGCAGAAGGTTGTTGACTCGCTTGAGTTGAGACACGCATCCCTGCATCGTTTTTCTAATCAAAAGTTTGCGACAAAACCATTTCTAAAAAAATAAAATGATCGTGATTTATACAGAATTTTCGAACGTGCAACCTCTCACAAAAAAGCTGTTATAAGGACAGCAAAATGGCTTTCTGAAAGAGTCACTGGCAAGGGTAAGACGCTCGGGGTGTCGTCGGTGCCGGCGTGAAAATTGAGAAAGACCTGTGCCCAAAGGGCATAATGAAGGACGTAATGAAGGACTGATCCAACTCCGCTTCCTGAAACGGCTCGTACTCCGCCTAGCAGGATGGCTCTCTGGCCCACAGCGCCGAACATGCCAGGGAGTGGTGTCGACGTTAGCTACCCGACTACATTAGCAAAGAGGGATAGCCATGTTGCTTTCCAGATCTTAACTCACTCGACCTTCCGTATGGTTCCTAATTAAAAGATCTGTCGAGTTTCGAGTCCCACTTCGGAGTCCTAGAAAGCAAGACTTAAAAAAGGCTGAAAAGAAATGGAGGAGGACACCTGCGTGCAAAATGCGAGGTAACTTAACTTTACAATACATAGTTGCAAACGACCAGTCAACGACAAGTCTATGGTGTATATGACCAGGATAGCAAAAGGTTATCCATCAGGCTCTAACCCAATCCATCATGTCATGGCTACGGCTTGGAATATACCTGTGAACCTTGCTAAAACAATGGTACTGCATCTTGGGAATGCTTATAGGATTCTGTACACGTTAGGCGATACAACTCTGCTTGAGTCTGATGACGTCATAGATCTTGGGTTCCACGTCAGCTCAGAACTGAGTTTCGAGCGCCACATCAATGTTATTGTTCAAAAAGCATTCAGTGATCTTTTTGCGATTTTCAGAAACATTCATAACAAGAGCGTCTCACTGTTTCTGAAACTTTATCGATGTTATGTTGTTCCGATATTAGAGTAAGGGTCGCAGATCTGGAGCCCGCAAACAAGAAACCTTCAAGCGAAAATAGAGAAAGTTCAGCAAACCTTCACAAAATTATTGATGTACAGATGTTACCCAAGTCCCATATACCCTGCATGCATGCCTGATTACAGAGAAAGTCTACAGCGGCTTAAGCTGAAGACGCTTCTCTATAGACGGGTTTTCAATGACATCGTCTTCGGTTCCAAACTGCTCCGGGGCGAACTAAAGCTCAAGGCGAGCAAGTACTGGGTGTTAAGGCCTTGCCGGGGACGTACCAGAATGCTCTCCATAACCTTTGCTAAACTAGCCAAGAAACAGTGCAACAGGATTTGCAGGTCTTTTTTCTTTCGTAGAGCAAAGAGGCTTCAGCTGCTGCCTGCTGAGATCCAACAACCTCAAAATGTTGGAGTTTTCAAGAGAAGGTTGAGAGAATTGATCTTTTGTAACTACTTGGCATCCCGGACTCCTGAGAATTTCGATAATGGTCAGCTTGTTTCCAGCAATCCCCAACTTCCAGAAATGTACATCGACCGACTCAGAGAGAAGACAGTGATATGTGTCTTTTGATTTCTGTTTTGTTTGTTTCGTTTTGTGCTTTTTTGCTTTCCTTTTTATCTCACATCTGCCGCGTTAAGTTACTGTTCTTCTGAATTTTTGTACCTTACGCGTTTGGTGAAGATCTTTAGACCGGATAATCGTGATGTGGTACTACTTACCAAGATCTCGAGAGAATCTCAAAGGTAGCTATAGGCCAATTTGAAATAAGGACGGGTCTGAAGCTGAATTGTTAGGGCTAGGAAGTACCTAACATCCGAAAATTCGATTTCAGATTCCGTATATGTATATATACATATTTCATGCTCTCTGGGAGTGGTGTTACCCTTACCGCCATCGGCCTATTGAGTTTCATTTGCCGACTCTCGAGTGTAACTACTTTCTTATCAATATGAACAAATCTTGACCACCCAATGTAAGGTTGACTCGATTATATCGTTTATGTTTACTTCACTGTATTGTTAGAGCGCACCGCTGCGAGCATCAAAATAAATAAATAAAACCGTTCGAAAAGCAAAAAACGTCTTGAATATTTTACAAACTACGGAATTCCATGAAAAGGGCTTTAAAAGA